CCCGGCCCGGCCCGGCCCGGCCCGGCCCGGCTTTCCTCTCCCCTCTCTAGGCGTTACGCTCGTTATTGCCAACGGGGTTTGTTGCGCTGCTGAAGGGGCCGCAGACTTGCTGCGATTAGAGTTATTGTCGTGTCGGTGCTGTAGTTTGATTACACTTTTATTGGGAGCATTAAAGTTACTTTAAAGTATCCTACAGGCCCCGTATTACTGGCATTTAAGCAGTTCTTTGTTAAAGCAATCATTAAAAATACGTTTAATGCTTACGTTCTCATGTTGCTTTTTAAAAAACACGTTTATTATACTATTTCTATTATTCAAACTTAAGTAATACCACTTCTTAGTATGAAAAGTTACTGAATGCCTGGAAGAGGCAGGAGGCTGCAGGATCACACCGTGTCCTGGGCTGCCCTGCTGCCCCATGACCCTGGGGGAATTAAGTAAAAAAGGCAAAAATTTCATAGTGTTGTTACATAAGTCAAGGAAAATTACCCTCCCGGCTGTACTAAGCACAGGGTTGTTGAGTCCCCAGTTTTACGGTCTTTTGCCCTTGCTGATGATGTGGGGTTTTTTTGTTTGCTTTGTTGGGTTTTTTTTGACTGGGGGTGAGGGTTGTGTTTGTTGAAAAGAGCTAAATCTGGTGTGGTTTGTGATAAGCCTGTTAAGCAGCACGCTGAAAATAATCCGCCTGGCCCGGGTGAATAACCAAACACATGCTTTCAGATGAAGCAACGCTGAAGGGAATTGATGGAAGTAATGCCCTGGTCCTGCCAGCGAAAAAAGCAAAGAAGAAAAAAGCAGCGTGTGTCGTGCAACAGCAGAAGAAACCCCTGAGCAAGAAACAGAAGAAAAACCTGCAGAAAGTTTTAGAGCAGAAGGAAAAGAAAAAACAGGTGCGTGGCTGCCTGCTGGTGACTCCAGCTCGGTGACTTCCCTTAAAATGAGAGTTTAATACCAGCGTATGGAGAAGGTGGGTGTTCGTGAGCAGCTGTGAGGTTTCCCCGGTGCGATTGCGTTGCTGGTGTGAAAAACCAGGCTGCTAGGCCTGAAAAACGGGAGGAGGGGTGACTGCTGTGCCGTGCCAGCGACCGGCTTTCGGGGTGTGAGCTGTGAGGGGCGTCTCGAACATGCAGATGCTGAAGTTTAAGGGTTTATGTTACAAGAGGATTAGCCATCCCTTTGCTGGGCGTTTTGGCAAAAACATTGCACTTTTGAGTGCGATTCTAGTGGGGAAAAGCATTCCCCTCCCTCTCAGTGGATCAGGGGTTGCAGGAACGCATCATTTTGCGTCCTGGTTCCCATCGGCTCTTTGGCGCTGACCAAACAGGTGCCTGTTGGGACGGACAGCGCCAGCAGAGCGAACGACGGGGTGTTTCAGAGCCGTGTGAGAACCTTCGTCCTGCTGCAGGATGCAAAGCTTGGTGCTCTGCTACTGCGGGTGCTTCTGCAATCCTGATTTCCAGCTCCTGTGGATCCTCTGTGTGCGGACAGAGGTTTCCTGTCTCCATAAAAGCTTTCCAGGCAAAATTCCTGATCGTTTTAGTGGCTGAATAATGACTCTGACGAATGAACTCTTATTTTTGGAGGCAGTTTAAAACTGCAGCTGCCTGACCTCCTGCCCGTGCCCTGTCCCACGTGAGGGAGTTGAAGGGAGCTTCCATTGCTCCAGCCCTTGCTCCACCATTTTAGTTCAAATCCTCTTTTTTCCCTGTTGTCTGAAGGGTCCAGCTGAGCTTTTCGTTGCAGCGGTGACGGGTCAAGGCCACGTTTCTATTTTTTCCCCAGTGCAGGGCTGAAACCTTCATGGGGGAGGAGGACTCCCTGTGGAGGAGGAGGAACGCCTTTACAGCGTCACAGCGAGGTTTGCCAGAGCACATCCTTTAAAACACAAGCGCAAATCTCAAAATGAAATTATTTCCTGGTGAAAATAAGCCCTGATTTTGGTTGTTTTTTCCCAAATAGCGAGCTGAGTGGCTGAGCAAGCTGAATGAAGTGCAGGCATCCGAGGCAGAAATGAAACTGCTGTACACTACTTCCAAACTGGGTATTGGGGAGCGCATGTATCAGACTAAAAGGTAAAGCGTGATTTGGAAAGAACCATCTGTTCTGTCCCTGTGGTTGGAAACTTGGCAACTTTCGTAGCTGTTTTTGCTTGGTTTGGTTTTTTCTGTTTCTTGCTGCATATGGGTTCTTCAGAATGGATGGAGTTTTCTTTTTTTATCTGATAACATGGTAGTCATTGTCTTGAGAGGAGTTAAAATAACTTGGTCTTCCCCTTCGTAAGGGACGAAGTGGGAGACAATTACATCTGCACACTCTTAGAAATTCTGCTAAACTGCATAACTGGTGGATAAACGTTTACTTTTTTGCTGTATTGGAAAGCATCAACTGATGCAGTCCTTCGTTACTGGATTTATCAAGAGTGCGTTTTGGCAGAAGTTGAAATAAATTAAACCACAAAGATGTCTTCGAAAGAAATGAATGAATGATCAGTACAGAGCGTGCTTAGATATGAACCCAGCAGTCAGGTCAGCCGAGGCTTTGCCTGGCAGGGTTGTGAAAACCTCCAAGAAAGGAGATCCCTGGAGAACGGGGTTAACCATTTGGGTAACGTCTTCTCGCGCTGCGCTATGCCCGAGGTGTAGAAGTTTTTCCTGTTTGAGTGAAACCCGGGTTGAGGGTCAGGCAGTGATTTTGGATGATGTAACTTTTCTGGTTTGTGTGGAAGACACGTCTGGCTTGAGGTCCTGGAGAACGTTGACCAAAGCATAGTTCACGTGTGGATGTTTTGTTCTAGGCTGTTACAGGAGCCCGCGACTGCTGTGCCTGAGAAGATCAGGAGCATCAGTGGTGCCAACAAGAGACGACACAGCTCTGATTCAGAATTGGAGCCTGAGGAGGCACCCAGCAGCTCTGAGGAGGAGAAGGAAGAGCAGAAACAAGAAGTTGAAAAGTCCTCAGGCAGTGATTTGAATACTGCTGAAAAGCCAGAGGAGGGCGTGAAGGCGGCAGAGGCTGACCGGCCGCCAGCTGCTCCTGGTGTGCCGGTTCACCAGACGGCCTCCAACAAACCATCCTGCAAGCCTGCGGTCTTCATTCCAGTGGACAGGTCTCCTGAGATTCAGGTGAGGCTCTGGGAACAGTTAAGTGCTTGTCACGGGCTTTGGAAATGGTGTCTTCCGTCCGATCAGGTCGCTGCAGACGCTACGGTGTTACCTTGTGTCTCTGGCTCACGCGGCACGGCAGCAGCTGCGCTTCGGGTCCTCCTCCTGGCAGCTTGTACACGGATGTGCCTCAGCTTTAAGCCTGTCTTATCCAGCAGAAGGAAAACTGGTTTTAGGGTGTAAAAGCATTTGTCTCTCATTTTAAATATAGACTCTATTTGCTGTCTTTTGTCGTTCTTCGCTTGTGAAGTCACTTTAAGCTCTGCATCGTGCTGGATCTTAATGCTGGATCGTTTTAATCCATTTGCCATAGGCAGGGCGTTCTGTAGAAGTGGGAGAAGCATTGTGTGTGTCTGAACAGACGAGGCAGAGCTGGGAAATGAATTTTTCCTTGAAGTGCTGTATTAATAAACTCCAGGGACTCTGAAGTTTCACAAATTGAAGGGCAGGGCTTGCCAGCTGCTTTCTGGGAAGCTGTTCTGGTGACTCAAGTTCTTGAACAAGCTGGTGTGATATTGGCTGGTTTAGAGCTTCTCGAGCCACAAAGCTTGCAGAATTCCTTTCCGTGGGTTTTGTAATCTGAGGAAGGTGATGGTTTTCAGTGCTGGGGAAAACAAAAAAGGGAGTGAGAAACAAAACAGCGCAACTGAAATGTGTGGTTTGTGTTCTTTAGGAAGCAAGACTGAAGCTTCCAATCCTTGCGGAAGAGCAAGTCATCATGGAAGCCATTAGTGAGAATCCCATCGTGATCATATGTGGAGAGACGGGAAGCGGTAAAACCACACAAGTACCTCAGTTTCTCTACGAAGCTGGCTATGCCAGGTATGAGTCTGCTTTGGGATGCAGCAAATGTAATGAGAAAAATTCAGGCTGAGCTCAGTCACTTCTGATTTTGTTTCTTTTCTTCTGATATGGCTGAACCCAACCTGGTCTTCTCTGTGCGGTGGTAGTGGCCCTGTTGAATGGGCTTTTAAAAAATCTGAAGGCAGTAAGACTGACTAGCAAAAGTCTATCCCCATGAGCAACCTTTTGAAACCTCTAAGGTAAAAATGTCCTTCAAAGCCACTGCCTTGTTTTCCACAGAGGGCCTTGATTGTCTGCCCGTCTCGCATAGCTTAACCTCTGCTTACAGAGGTTTGTTTTTACCTTTGCAAGAAAACATGCACCTTTCTGAAGAACATCTTTGAGAATAGCTGTGGTGCTACTGGTAATGCTTGTAAGCTTGGGCAGCTCCTGAGGTGCTTCTCGCAACTGCATCAAGGCGCATCCAGCGTCTGTGCTGCTGCTGCTGCTCCAGCCTGAGCTGCTTCTGAGCTGGACCCTGCTGCCAGAGGGATGTCCAGGGGGACTGGAGTTCCATGAGCTGGGATTACAGAGACAACATTTGGGGAAAAAATTCCTGTGATACGTGCATCTTCAGGTCAATACACATATGCTAGAAGGGTCATCCCAAAGCTTCCTTTCGGTCTTGTTCTTCTAACTAAAGGTGATACTGCGTGAGTGATGCTGCTAAATGTAGACCCGTTGTGCAGAAATCCTGTTGTCATCTTTCTAAGCGTTTCTCTCTTTTAAAACAAGCAGCCAAACCACCCCTCCTTTTCTTTCCTGCACCCCTTTAGTTCAAATGGTGCTATTGGGATCACCGAGCCTCGGCGTGTGGCTGCAGTGTCCATGTCCCAGCGAGTCGCTAAGGAAATGAACTTGTCACACAGGTGAGGAGAGGAAAAGGCCGAGACCCTGCTGGGGAGATAACGCTGAGATGCTCTGTGTGTGTCATAGGCTGAAATCAAGACTCGCACGTTGCTTGTTCAGTCTTTGGCAAAGGACTGTGTGAAAGTTACTTACAAACTGCTCTGTGGGGTTGTCTATTAAAAAAACATACGCAGGTTTGTTGCTACTAATGGTTGTGTGTTACTTTTTAGAGAGGGCTCTGTGGAGATGGTGTGTGGGAAGTGGTCCTAGTTTGTCTCCATATGAGAAAGCGTCTCGTGACAGTGAAATAATTCAAAGTGACATTGCTGTATATTCCAGCTTCCAGCATTTTGTGTGTGCTGGGCTCTGGGGAGCTGATGGTGTGCTTTTTGTCTTGTCTTGGCATCAGGTCTTAATTTAGTGAGGCTGAAGGCTGCCTCCCTGTCTGAATATGAATTTTCTCTTTCTCCCCATGCTTTTTTCTTGTGGCTACCCTGGCATTTCCTCCCAGGGTGGTTTCCTATCAAATCCGGTATGAAGGCAATGTTACAGATGAAACACAAATCAAGTTCATGACGGATGGTGTGCTGCTGAAAGAAGTTCAGAAGGTAAGCTGCTCTCCTCAGTGTTATAAAAAGGAAAGTATTTTGTGTAGCTGGGAAGAGACGCCAGTTACTCTGTGTGGATTTGTTGCCAACCTTTCAAAGCAAAATCCCTTTCAGCACTGGAGACATATTTCAGCTCATCCCTTTATATTCCTGCCCAAGTCCCTAAACGTTGGGTTATCTTGCTGTGTAAAATGAGGGCAAGGAAGAGAGTCTTGGAACTAGGCTGCTTCACGTAGGGTACATGCATTAAACTCTGCTCAAATATGTGGGAGAGACTACAGCCGTGAGGGTGGAGGGGTGGGTGTTTGTGTCGCTGTAGTTGTCTGGACTTAAAACTGACCTTGGGTGAGGCTTTATGTGATGAAATTGGTCTCTCTTCTCAGGACTTTCTGCTTTCAAAGTACAAAGTCATTATTATTGATGAAGCCCATGAAAGGAGTATGTACACAGATATCTTGATCGGCCTCTTGTCTCGCATCGTGCCTCTTCGTGAAAAGGTAAGAGAAGCAGTATTTATTTCTGTGTTAGGTGTGGGGGTGCTGGGAGGGGGATGTTGGACATGAAGAGGTTCTGTGGGAGAAGGGACTCTACAGCATGGAAGTTGATGGAAATCTGATGGAAACCATGAAATGACACTCAGATAATGTATTTTTCTTTCCACGTGATGGAAGAAGCACAGAGCCTGCAAAAAGGGGAAAAATAGTACATATCAGCACCAACAGAGAGCTTTTCAGGCAATATCCAAGCAATTTTAGAGTTACAGTGCCCCGAAACACGTGTGAATAACTAAAATTATCAGCCTGTTAGAATGCAAGGTGTTCACTGTTGCCGTTGGTGGCTTATTCCCAGGCAGTGCTTGGGAGGAGGCGTTTCGGGGCTGACTTAGTGAAGTGTTTGGTCCTGACTGGTGCTGGGGGCTGGTGGACTGCAGGGCAGCGCTTGGCGTCTGGTTTTGTTTTGCTTATGGATGGAGCGAGAACGGAGCGGTGGGAGGCGGCGGCAGGATTGCCAGCGTGGGCTTCTGCGTGGTTTAAGACGTGTTGCGTTGGAGGCGGTGCGCAGCCCCTGACGCTTGACACGGTGCTTTTGTTGGCTCGGCTGTTGCGTGCTTTGGGGCAGCACCTGGTGTCCCGCCCTGCTGACAGCTCTGGGTTGGTGTGCTGGGCAGCTTCCGGGCACGGAGTAACACGTTTGTGTCCCCGCAGAAAGAGGGCCTGCCGCTGAAGCTGCTCGTCATGTCGGCTACCCTCCGGGTGGAAGATTTCACTGATAACACCAGGCTGTTTTCGGTCACACCTCCTGTTATTCAGGTATCGTTCTCCTGGCTGGGATCTGCGTCAGATGTAACGGCTGAAATACAACGAGGGTTTCCTTTATAAAATTAATTAAAAAATAGGGGCATTCTCATCTTTCCAGTGGGTGCTGAAATCTTTCAGCTATCAATTTAAAAACAGTTATTTTGTTTGGACTACTGTTTCTTTCGGGACTTGGTGTTTTTCTTTCCACTTTTATCAGAAAACTGCCCTGGCAGAGTCTGATTATCTTGAAAAACTGTATGTTACAATTTAGGAGAACTAGAAAGCCTCAATCCGAGTTGATGATCAGAAAGAGAAAAGTTTTGGTTTCTAGTTTGGTTTTGCGGTATTCAGGGTAGACAACACTGATAACTTCTGTGGGTCCAGCGTTTGTAGGTTACCAAAACCAAGAGCTGAGCAGAAATACAGGCCGAGCTTTCCTAGTTCTCCCATGAAAGCTGTAATGATTGTGCTGATGTTATGGCACCAAACAACCCCCTTTTTTTTTTTTCCATATTTCCTCTCTAGGTAGATGCAAGGCAATTCCCTGTAACCGTTCATTTTAACAAGAAAACCCCCCTGGATGACTATAGTGGGGAGTGCTTCAGAAAGGTGTGTAAAATCCATCGAATGTTGCCCTCAGGTAAGGTCGCTGCTGAGAACCTCTCAAATTCTTTCCACTTAACATGTCTGAAGTTTTCTGCATTGGTTTTTTGGGAGGTTTTTGGTTGGGTTTTTTTGTTTTGTTTTGGGGTGAGGTTTTTTGGGAAGTTGAACATGGGACTGCAGTGATGTATTGTGCACTTTTACTTCAGAAAGTTTTTCTTGTGAAAATTACCCTTCAATTAAATCATAGTTACGTTAGCTTGCTTCTCAAGGGAGTACTAGACGACAGGTGCAGTCAAACACCCTGTTCCTCCTTGTTACTTTGCAGTATATTCATCCTGTCTTTTTCAAGAATAAGATCTGAAGCTTTCCAAGGTGAAATACCTGTGCTGAGGTTGAAAGTGATTTCTTCTCTTGCAGGTGGGATTTTGGTGTTTTTAACCGGCCAGGCAGAAGTTCACTCTCTGTGTAGAAGGTTAAGGAAAGCCTTTCCATTCCAAAAAAACAACACAGCAGGTAATGCTGTAGAATAAAGGACTGTTAAACTCTGAATTTATCGCACTGAGAAGTGAGCTTGCTTTGCACCTAAAAATAAGAGCTTTTATCTAAAAACCCCAAAAAACAAGGGTTGGAGAAAGGGTTCATTGTGGATGATTTTGATGACTGATTTTTATGTGCTGGTTTGAGTTTGGGGAAAAGGTCTGTGTGTATGATACCTTCCAGTTCCCCAGAATCCATTGCATTTCTTCACTTACTCTGTTGGTCATGAGTTAAAGTGGAAAAGCTGCTGCTTGTTGGTGACTGTTTATTTTCAGGATAGTAGAATTTCCCAAGATGAATTTAGAAAGTCAGATTCCAGTATAGCTCAGCTAATCATCTCCTGAACATCAAGGCATGCAGTTGCTGTGTGTTCACACTGTGAGACTTTTTGAATCCCCCAGAAGGTGGGAGTGGGACCAGGCTCTCCCCACTACCTTTTCCGAGAGGAAAGCACGCTGAGCTAACGGTAATTCTACTGCCTGTCTTTGTAGGGGGAGATGATGACAAAGAAGAATCAGTGGAAGAAATCAGAAAATTTAAGAAATCGAGGAAGCAGAGGAAAGTTATGGTAATGTGTGATGGCTAGAATTCCTCCAAGAGGCAGGAAGGAGCAGGTACCTCCCTGCAAACCAGCGCTCCTGTGTAGCTGCGTTTCTCCCCAGGCTGTTTTAGACTTGCATGAAGCCTTGTACCCTACACGTGTCCCCTCAGGGAATCCTGTAATACTGCTGCATTCTGAGCAATGTGTCCCTGGGTATTACGGGCAGGAGATGGATTTCAGTTGAGTACTGATCATTAAAACTTTAATGGAAGAAGTTCCAGACTTCCTGGCTCCAGGGCTGCTCCTCATCTCGCTGTTTGTAACCCAAAATTGGGGCTGATGCACCTGTGGCAAGGGGTAGTGTTTGGCTTCCAGCCGAGTCCTACGTGTGCTTTGTTAGCAGGACAGCTTGATGTTACAGAAATACTGTCCGCTGACAGTGGATCCTGGTAGCTGAAGGAGCCTGAAGTAAAGACATTTTGCCCTTTCCCGCTGTCCTCCAAGTGAAGAAGCTTGGCTTGGCACAAAATGCTGTTTCAAATACTTGCGTTATTCCCCCCTGGCTCTAACAAATGCTGAACCTCAGCTTTAAAATACAAATGAAATCTCTCAATCGCTCTGTCACCATTAGGTCAGCCAATGTTTGGAGTAAGTGCTCAGCTTTGCTTTCACAGCAGTAAAACGTGCTGTTTGTGTCCCCCCTTAATGCTCTGTGGTCGTCTTTCCTGTCTTTCTCAGACACTCCCCAAAATTGACCTGGACAATTACTCTGTTGTACCGGTGGATGAAGGAGATGAAGACAGAGACGCTGACACTGATGATGATATGGCAGGGTCTGATACTGACCTTGATTTAGGAGACGGAGACTCCGAAGAAGGTTTGGCACTTATGAAATCAAAATTCCGTATCTCCCGTCACCTGTGACACTGCGACATTGGCTGGTTGTCCTCTGCCAAGTGGTGTGATAACACAGCAGACCTGTGTCACGGAAATGCTATGAAGATTTTCCAGCATCAGCTTTGTCCCAAACACTTGGCAGGTTTTAGATGAAGCGGTGGTTGTGAAGACATCATTGGGATTAAGCCTGGAAGTTGACTTACTGTGTATTTAACAGCAGGGGTTTGTTTCTTCACAGATGAGAAATCCGATGCGTCCCTTCCGCTCTATGTGCTCCCGCTGTATTCTTTGCTAGCACCAGAGAAGCAAGCAAAGGTGAGGGATTTAGTGTCACGAGGAGTAAATGATCCTTGTAGATACGTGTGATCGTTGGCTAAAGTCACGTGTGCTTCGTGACTGAAGATTTCCGTCTTTCTTGCAGGTATTCAGGGCTCCTCCTCCCGGCACCAGACTGTGTGTTGTAGCCACCAATGTGGCCGAAACATCGCTTACCATCCCGGGCATCAAATACGTGGTTGACTGTGGAAAGGTCAAGAAACGTTTCTACGACAAAATTACCGGGGTTTCGTCTTTCAGAGTCACCTGGATATCTCAGGCCTCAGCGAACCAGCGGGCGGGGCGGGCTGGCCGGACGGAACCCGGGCACTGTTACAGGTTAGCGGCCTGCCCGGGAGAGGGTTGGGAGAAACACAAAGTCCGTGTGAGGTTGACAGCTTTCCCTCACCCTGCTGCTGCCCCTGCTCGAAACAGTTTGGGTTTGTCTGCTCTTCATTCAAGTAGGAGAGGTGAAGCCCAACGTGAACTGTCACTGGTGATACTGGTTTGACAGTTTGGCTTCCCTTGGCTTTCTCTTGCGGAAAACCCTGATTTTGGTGGCCAGTTCAGCACGAATTCCACTCCAAGCCAAGTCAGCTTTTGGTGAATACGGCGGTGTGCCCCAACCCTGTAATTAATGACATGGTTATGTAAATAGTACCCGCAGCTGCCTTTTTTCAAATCCCTTGCCAATTTTTTCATGCATCTCTTTTGAGTTAAGATTTCTTTTACGTCTCTAAGCAGCACTTCTGGTCCACTAGGTTATACTCTTCAGCAGTCTTCATGGACTTTGAGAAATTTTCTGCTCCAGAAATTACAAAGCGACCAGTAGAAGACTTGATTCTGCAAATGAAGGCATTAAATATAGAAAAGGTGAGGTGTAAGTTGGCTTTGTATTACAGCACTTGTTAAAGTGGTTGCCCCTAGGAGCCAGAACTAAACACAAATGTCTTTTATCATCATTGCTTGAGGCTCTGCTTCCTGTTAGAAATTAGGCTCCTGGGACTTGATTTTGACTCTGCAAATTGCAGAAGCTGCTGTGAATTCCACCAGACATGTTTGTTCACGTAACAAGAGCTTTCCAGATTCCTAGTAGTGAAAAAGACCCTGTCCAAACAGGGGTTGTGTTTTGGAGATACTCGAACCCTTTCAGAAAGCACAATACTTAAACTGGACCTTAAGGCAGCCTGCCCTGGGCGGTGCCTGGAGTCAGTGGCAGCTAAGGGTGATGCTGGTATTCCTGTTTCCTGAGGTTTTTGTTCTAAGCATTTCCTCCCATTATATCTCCTTTCCTCTGGCTCCTGGCAAGCATCGTAAATGTTTTTCTTTGTTATATGTAACCAGAGGGGAGGGGTTTTGCTCCCTTCCAGGACTTCTCACTGCATTCAGACTCTGTTTTTCAGCGGGAGCCGTGTCAGTGAGGTACTGAGCGGTGTTTTATCCTGGTGTCCGTAGGTAATCAACTTCCCATTCCCAACACCACCTCCAACAGAAGCACTTGCAGCAGCTGAGGAGCTGCTGATAGCCCTGGGTGCCTTGAAGGAGCCCCCTGTGACAGGAAGGTAACGTCTGTGGTCCCCCACAAATCTCTTGGCGCCGCTGCTCGGCCTCTGCTGTCGAGGCAGTGGGCACTGCTGTCCTGCGTTTCCACCTCAGCCTTCGCATCTGGGGGTGTGCTTTTTTACAGAGACTGGCCTTGTTTTAACAGTCTGTCGTTTACCCCTGTTGGTTTTACTGGTCCTGGGTGTGTTCGGGCAAGGAAAAACTGTGCTAGGAGTGTGCTGTGCAGGGCAGGTGGGAGCTGCATGAGGACGGGGAATCCTTCCCCCAGCCTTTGGGACCAGCACATCACAAAATCTGAGAAAACATCAGATTAAGTTGGCTGCCAAAACCAGAAACACTTTTTCTAATGCAGAAGTTTCTTCATTACTTTTCTCTTCTTCCCCCAGGCTGAAGCAGCAGTTGGCAGCGAAGCTGAGTTGCCCTATTAGTCCCCTGGGCAGAATAATGGCCACTTTTCCTGTAGCCCCCCGCTACGCGAAGATGCTGGCGTTGAGCAGGCAGCACGACTGCCTGCCGTACACCATCCGTCGTGGCTGCCATGACCGTCCGGGAGCTTTTTGAAGAGTTTGACAGGCGAGTGAGTGAGCCTGACGTCCTCCTCACAGGGTGCCTCGCCTCCTCCCAGCACAGCGTTGAGGCGCCTCTGCCCAGGAGAACGATGCTCATTTATGCTTCTTTGTGTTTCCTTTAGGCCAGCAGTAAATGAGGAAGAGACGGAAAAACTGAAGGGGAGGAAAGCAAGGCTTCTGCAGATGCAGAGGATCTGGGCTGGGCAGGGGCCGATGCAAAAGCTAGGAGACCTCATGGTGATGTTAGGTATTGCAGACAGCCATTTCCCTCCGCTCTTAACTTCCATTCTGTTCTCCTCCCCGTCACCCTGAGCGCTTGGTACAATCAAAAGCATCCTCGTGCTGTAGGGCTAAGTCCAGCAGTGTACTTTGGAGGCTGTTCTCTGGGCAGCCTGCCAGCGTCCCAGGCTAATGACAAGTGGGAACTGCGATATGCACGTGTGAACTGTGGCAGTACGGCCCCGCAGTTGGTTTAATTAGAACTGATCAACGAAGTTGTTTTCTCCCCGTGACTGTTCGCTTCCAGGAGCGGTGGGGGCCTGTGAATATGCTGGGTGTACCCGTAAATTCTGTGACGAAAATGGGCTCCGATACAAAGCCATGCTGGAAATCAGGCGCTTGAGAGGGCAGCTGACAACAGCAGGTAAGTGGGTTTTGAGAGGAATTGCCGTGTTCATCCTCTTTCGAGGGGTGACAAACCAGTGGAGCTGTTTGTTGCAACCTTTTTTTTTTTTTTTTTTCCTCTTGAATCTTGACTCACCTTTTTCCCCCTGCAGTGAACTCGGTCTGCACTGATGCTGGTCTCTATGTTGATCCAAAGATGAAGCCCCCGACAGAAGCTCAAGCAACTTACTTGAGGCAGATTGTGCTGGCAGGGCTGGGGGATCACGTTGCCCGAAAGGTTCAGGCAGAAGAGCTCCTGGATGACAAGTGGAAAAATGCCTACAAGGTAAACAGCTTGCCTTGACTGAATTCCTCTTCCCCCGTGTGGCAGAGAGACACCCCTGTGCAAAGCCTGCGCTTCTGGCGGGGTGCAGCGCTGGGGCTGTGTGTGCTGGCTTTCTGCAGTTCTCTCCAGAGAATTTAAGTTTCCAGCGTTGCAATTTCCCAGTGGTCACGTAGGAATTGTTATAAAAGAGCTAAGAAATAGCATTAGTCCATCTTGCAAAGTGCTTGATGTCTCCAGAGAATCTCCAGTGAAGCAGAAAATTACGGGGTTATTAGAAACCTCCATCACCGAAGGAAACCATATGAATGTACATCTGAGAGAGACTGAAATTAGATGCAATCGAGAAATTGGATTGCTGGTAACTCCTCTTCCTCTGCTTCAATCTTCTGTGCTTTCTTAAAGACTGCTCTCCTGGACGACCCAGTGTTCATCCATCCAAGCTCAGTCCTCTTCAAACAACTCCCAGAGTTCGTGGTGTATCAAGAAATCGTTGAGACTACAAAACTCTATATGAGAGGTGAGCCTGCTGCGGCGCCTGCTTGTTCAGAAATGCCGTAGCAGAATGTTTCCCTTGCTGCGGTGACTGGGCGCCCTCCTTACAGAGCGGTCATGCCTCCTGGGATTTGGATCCTTACGCTTCCCAGGTCTGGATCAGGGGGAAAATTGGCTTGGCTTATTCTGTGTCTGGCAGAATTAGCTGGAGCAAAGCTCAGTTTCTGAAACAGCTGCTCTGCACCAGCCCTGTCAGCAATAGCTACTGATTGCAGGTCTCTGGACAGAAGAACGAGGATAAGTTGACTTGAAAAACGAGATACGAGTAAATCTGTGGAGATGAGATCCTGACCGTGCCCCGTGCTCGTGGGACTGCTAGGGAGTGGTGGCCCGTGGCCGCCAGCCTGCATTCAGGCGTGTGTTTTCCCTTCCTCAGGTGTGTCCGCAGTCGAACCCGAGTGGATTCCTGCCCTGTTGCCGCCGTACTGCCACTTTGGGAAGCCTCTGGAAAATCCTCCGCCATCTTACTGCCCCGAAACAGGCCGAATTCGGTGCCACAGACCAAGTGTCTTTTGTAAGCGTCTGGAAAAGCGTCCCTCGGTAGTTTTGTCTGAGAGCTGCTCTGTCGTTACTGTAATGCTGCTTTTAACAAGACCATCAGCAGACAGGAAGGGTCAAGCTCAGCTTGGACTGGAGCTTAACAGTGGTTTGAGTAGCTCCATGGGCTTCGTAGCACTTAAATATCAGCATCTCCCCATCGGGCTGGGTGTTTTATGCCCACCTGCTCCCCTTGTGGAGGAGCAAGGCCGGCTGGGTGGTGGCGGTATCCTCTCCACTTCTCTTAGCACCTGTGTTGGCACATCTCCCTTGGAAACGAACCCTCCTCTTGGAGCATTTGGGAGACTCGGCGTGATCTTTCTTTCCAGACCGAGTTAGCTGGGAGCTCCCCGCTGTGGAAGTTGATTACCCAGAAGGTATTGATCGCTACAAATATTTTGCCAGGTTCCTGCTTGAAGGAAAGGTGAGTGTGTTCCGGCTGCGTCACTTCCTTGATGTTAGAAGGTTTTGGCCCAGTTTTTGGAGGAGATGAGCCTTGTGGCTTCTTTCTTCGTGTGTGTGCCCATTCCTCATGACATGCTGGTGGCAGGAGGAGTCTGCTGCGGTCGGTGGGGTGGGGAAGGTTTCTTTAAAATGTGAAATGGCATGAAATTCAGCAGTTGGGTGAAAGAGACCCCCAAATTTAAGTCCTGTTTTTGCAAAGGAAAGAAGCTGTAACTTGTGTCTTGATCCATTCTGAGACACAAGTCATCTAGCAAGCCCATCAGGACAAGATTGGCATGGAGACATGGATGGGAGAGGTGGTAATAGAGGATATGGGGTGGAAATCCATAGTAGGCCAAGTTCGTTGATGATTGTCTCCGTGAACAATTAATTTACCTCGTTCATTATATACTTGCTACAACAAATCTTCCAGGTCATTGAAAAGTTGAGTCCTTACAGCCGCTGTCTGCTGTCCAGTCCCCTCATAATGCTGAAGACATGGTCCAAGTAAGTTGTTAAAAAGAAACTTAAGTTTGTTGTCTCCACTTTTAACTTCCTTTTAAATAAAAAAAAAAAAAAAAAATCAGTGCTGGGAAGCGTGTTCTAGATAGCGATCTTGGCTGTAGCTGCAGGGAGAGGAAAATGAGCTTTCTCACCAAGAAAAACTGTGTCCCCAGAGGACTGGGCGATGGTGAGGGCAGTACGGGAGAACACCCGCAGCCTGCTGGTCGCACTGACCTCTGCAGGCTGCGTCTCACAGATACATTGCCCACGCCTGGAAGAAACTGCCAGGTGGGCACTGCTGCTTTCCTGCTTTTCGGCCAGTTAGTCTGTCCTTATTTCTTTTCAAAAACGTGTTTCCAACAGACCATGTTCTTCTTGTGGCTGTGGTGACGTTTACAGAACTGTGACCTCCAGAAGGACTGTCGGCTATGGCTCCCCTTGCTGTCCCCCCTCTCTTGTTTACCCAAATAAGCTTCCTCTGAGTCTTCTGTGAGCTTCAGTGGCGTTGATGGATGCAAGGATCTTGAAGGACTGTGTAAAAGGGACTGATGTTATCCGAGGGTCCTACAGTTACAGCGTGGGACCTTTGGATTCCTTTTTGCTTTACTGGGTGCTGTGCAGCTGCGTTGCAGACAGCTTCATGCTGTCCGCAAGGAGAGCAGCCTGCTGCTACTTTCAACAGCAAAAAGTTGGGGTAGGGGGAAGAAACTGCTTCTAGGGAACTTCCTTGAGCCAATGACATGTCTCTGTATCCAGAGGTCGTGAGTTTCTACATCTGTATTTAGCCTTTTAAAGATATTAAAGAGTATGAATTCGGAAAGGTGAGCTGAGTGCCCTGACACTCTGCTGTGCTGCTGAACATTGTCTTACTACACCATTTTCTTTTGGACTGATTTAGGCTTCAGCCCAGGACAGAATCCCTCCTGCAGGCTCTGGTTGCAGAAAATTGTGACAATCGCGATGCTTTACTGGCTGCATGGAAGAAAAATCCTAAATGTAAGTGTTCTGTTTGCTTCATTATGAGTCATAGCCGTGTAGATTTGTAATACCATGAGCTCTGTTGAGTTATCACTTAAAAAATGGATGATTTTGCTTGATAAGCTCCAAATATTTGCTGTTTTCTTACCAGAAACAGTAACGCTCTGTGTTTGGTTCATGTGAAGAACTGGAGTTCCCTGCACTTTAGAAAGCAACATTTGTTTGTGTTTCAAGATTTTTTTTCTTCTGTAGCTCTAACGACAGTTAAAACGTCTTGTTTGGGCTTTCGAAAGATTCAACTATGGCGGTACTGCCAGTGGATACAGGAAAATTTTTTTTGAGGTAAAATGGATTTTATTCAATACTAAATTGGATTTCGGGAACCAGATGGTAAGAGTTCTCCATAGAAGCAGCAGCAAAGTGATGCAGTAATGGCTTTCACAGTAATTCTCCCTTATTTGATACTTTTATATCTGCATGTGCAGGTGTCCAGGCTCCACCACTGTCCCAGTGATGGACGGTTGGTTCTTGCCCTCAGCCTGCGAGCAGGGTGATGCCACAGGACCTCATCTTCCCAGCAAAGCCGCTCCAGTCCCTGACTCCTGTAGCTGTCTAATTGCTCCTCTCTCCATTCCAGATTTGCTCGCAGCCTATTGCCAGTGGATCCCCGAAGCGATGCATGATGATGTAGCCAAGAAGTGGCCACCAGTAGCACCGTGAAGTGCCTGACTCTGTTCTCAATGGACTCCTTTTCTCCAAGATGTTTCAAGAGCTTGGGTTCCCTTGGAAATCTCATGACAGAGATGGACTCATTAACTGTTAGCGATACCTTTGTGCAAGCGAACTGGGTGTTCTGGTTTTCTGGGAAGCCTTTTGTGTTCCCAGAAGCCCTACCAGCTGTTGCGCTGGTATTTTGTAATACTAATGTTTGGATAATTTTATCCATTGTATTTTACAGATTTTTTTTTTTCATCTGAAGTTTCTCTTTGGACTATATTAGTCATATGGACTATAATAAATACGTATAGTTCTCGGTTTGGATGGGAGAAATGTTTTCTATGTGGGATGCTGCAATAAGCAGAACTTCAGACCTTTGTGGACCCTTCCTCATGTAGAGGAAGAGATAGATACAAACACAGGCTGAACCTTTGGCTCTCCTGGTGGGTTGACCATGGCCAGAGCTCAGCAGCACACGGCCGCTCGCTCCCTCCCCGTCCCTCCGGCAGGACAGGAAGCGCGGAAGTGAGAAAACTCGTGGGTTGAGATAAAGATGGTTTATGAGTGAAGGGAAGAAGATGAAGAAGAAAAAACCCCAACATGAAGGAAATCAGTCACCAGCTCCCACACAACAACCAGCTGGTATCAGAGTGTGACATGCAGCACGCGCTGTCCCTTTGGCTGGCTCAGGTCACCCATCCCCTTCCCGTGTCTCGCCCACCCCCAGCCCACGCGCGGGGGAAGCAGAGGGGGGAAAAAGAGAAAGCCTTGGCACTGTGCAAGTATTGCTCAGCAACAGCCAAAGCGCTGGTGAGTTATCAACGCTGGTTGAGTCCCAAGTCACACAGCAGCATCGGGGCTGCTATGAAGAAAGTGACTCCAGCCCAGCACAGTCCTAACATTTCTTTTCCTGCTTCTCTAGGAGTTTGCCGTGGGTTCAGAGTAGCCATCAGTCTTGCTTTCAATGTTTTTTTTTCTCAAATCTCTCCTGGCTTGGTGCTGCAAGCACTTGCATCTCCTGCTGCCTTTGCTCTGCCCCGGGGTTTGCAGGGCTGTTTTGTGCACTCTGGCTCTCCTGAGCCACCCTCTGTTTCACGGGCTGGAGCACTTTTGGGAATGCAGCAGCTTCCAGCAAACAGGGCAGACTTTAGCCATGCCGCCCGCTCCCTTTGCAGCAAGAAACCTTTGATCGGCCCAGAAGAAAATGTACAGCTTGAGTTTACCCTCCCTTTTGCCCAATCTTTTTCCTCTGTGGGAAACCCTGTGCCTCCCCTGGTGTTAATTTGCTGTCGCTTTTAACACCGCAGCGTGAGAAGGTGTGGGCAGGGATCCCCGTGCCCTGTGGGCAGGAGGCAGCTGGTGTGACCCCACCACAGAAGAGGTGGATGCCTGCGCCCGCTGCACCCCCTGTGTTAAAAATACCTAGTGCTGGTGAAACACCAGCTTTTGGCTTTCGAGCAAGAAGGGAAATCCTTGGTTGTAGCTGTGTGTTTGTCGTGTCAACGCCGCAGTGTTCAGCAGCAGCCAGGGCCGGAGGGGCTCTGGGCTGGGCTCCTCTCTGAGCGGGAGCTGCAGCGGAGGTGTGCAAGCTGCTCTGTGCTTCTGGGAGGGAAGAGGGGGAAAAAAAAAGGAAAACACCATCCTCCTTACAAATTACGGCCTTTTTGTGAAATGGGGCGAGAGAAAGCGAAAAGAACCGGCTTCAGGAGGCAAGAGCAGGAAAAAAGGCAAGAAAAGTGGAGATGCCGGGGATTGAACCCGGGGCCTCATACATGCAAAGCATGCGCTCTA